TAGATTTTAGTGAGATATTCTATGATTTCGTGTTCATATATACTCGGTTATCCCCACCCATGTTCTTGTTCACTACATATTAATTATGTAATTAATTGAATCTGAAAATAAAAGTTTATTGTTTTATATTAAAATGATTTTAAAGATGGTTTAATAATCTTTATTAACACTTTTATTTCATCTTTGCTATTTAATCCTATTACATATGAGTTCATTAACTACAGATTGATTCTTTTTATAAAGATGATCTCTTTTTCTTTAGTTCACATTTGGTGTTTACTTTCATAACACGTTCCATCTAAAGGATCTCTATTTTGATTATAAGTATTACAACTAAGATTTGACATGACAACGTCAAATAAATTTGGCACTAGGTGAATTATTTTCTTAGAAAAACTAAACTATAAAATAATGTCAGAAGGGGTTTTGCTGATATTATAATAACTTTAATAGTTGAGATCATGAGTCAACTGAAGCTAGACCGTGATGGAAAACCTGGATGCACTGGACTGCCGTTACGCTCTATTGTGGGATCAAAACCGATAGGTCCCGGGTTTAAATCTCACGAGGCGGGATCATGGGTGCGCATTGCTGGGCAGTCCGAAAATAGGACGAAACGGTCGTCCAGTGCATTCAACATTTCGTGACTTAGTGTAAGCTTTGTTTTTGTAAAAGGTAAATAAATGAATTAATGGTACTAATAAATGGTACTAATGAACAAATCATAACCCTTAGTACTTAATTTTATTGTTGTTATAATCTTCTAGTGTATATGAGTGATCTTTTGCATTAAAACATTTACAGTTACAGTATACAAGAACTTTCATCTAAATTTGAATGAACAGATTCATATTATTTGGGTGCTGAGTTGTAAGATATTAAAGAGAAAGAATATATTTACAAAATCGTGGTGTTTGAATTTGAAGTGAATACACTGTTTCGTTCAACAATTTAATACGAGATTTTCTTTGAAACGTCATCGGATTTACTTCAAATTCAATCGCTGAGTTTTTATAAATATATTCTTCTTCCTTAATATCTTTACAGTTATATTTTGGATATTGACATAACAATTTCAATTTAAGACTTATTTCATGCACAAAATGAACTGTATATTTTTTCGATAGTGTAATAAGATTATCAGAACTATGTGATACATTTAGAATAATCTGGTCACATAAATACTAGTTAAGAAAATTTATATATAAAGTAAAAGGTCAACTAGAATAGAAATAGAAGGTAAGAGGAGACAAGGATAATAGTGAATATAATATGAAAAAAACAACAATTTGAAACCTTATCACTCTGCATAATAAATTAATATTACCAAGGTAGGTTTAACGTAGGAGCAAATTATTTTTGAATACAAAAGGAGGTTTGAATTTACGTATGGTTAAGGCCTAAATCAGCCATTAACAAGACATATAGCGCTACAAAGATCAAGGAAAGAAAAAGGACCATGCTACGTCAAAAATCTAAAAGATGTGAAAACAATTGTGTCACATCCCACTGTGTTTACCATGTTTACGATGAAAGCTCCATGACTGAACCATCCAGCTCAGAGAACAAAACTCCATCAAAATCACCAACCTGAGCTACAATTCATCTCCATTACAAAAGCCGGGTTAAGATCAATATTATAACCTGTTTCAATTATGTATTTGGCAATAGAGGATTCTGGATGTTTATTCTTTACTATTATTGGGTCATTTGATCTTATTTGCTTCTACAACCATTTAGGTACATGTTCACATACCGTAATTTTAGGATCAAGATTACTCTTCCCTATGTTTGTATGCATGGCCACAAAAAAATTTAAATTGGTAAACACAGTAGGATGTGACGCAATTGTTTTCATGTCTTTTCGATGAAGCATGAACTTAGGTCCTTCCGGAGAACTTCAGCGGAGCCTCCAGAGGCCCAAAAGGAGCCGAAGGATCCTAGCCTATCAGAGTACGATGGAACGTTCGAGAATTCCAGCGTGGCGTGCTATTATTGGTCGGTAGCATAATATGACGTTGACGGATTGGCTGAAATATGATGTTGACTTAACAGACGCCAACATCTATAAATACCCTTGATTTTCTGTACAAAAATGAACCTTAGGACAAAGTATTTTCTTTCATACTTGTGTCTTCTCTCTGGTGTTCAAGTCGCTGTGTAGTTCTAGTCTGCGGGTTACCAGATAGCTTAGGAATCGTATATAGCGTTCCATCGACAAGACGTATCACTTGATAATGACCTTTACAGAGTAATACGTTTTGTTAATGACTGATTTCTAGTTTTATTGAGCTTTTATTTTTATCCCAAAATGTTCTTAACAATTATATTACGTGTGTTCAGATTGTTCAAAATGTATCTCACTGATATATCATATTACTTCTGATAATCATCATCTTATTATTACACTATCGAAATGTATATTTTTTGTTAGCCTGCTTAATATATAAATGCGTTACGAAAATATCCTAATTTATGCCACAAAATATAACTATATCAACCTTTAACAAAATTAATTAAGCATTTAAAAAAAAGAACTAAAATTCTGATAATCCCACCATTTTTTATTCAAGTGATCAAAAGTATGTTTTCAATCACGATTGATTGATCACTGGATGGTGAGCAATGTAATGTGTGTCAAGTCCTTATTATTAGTGCAGATCGAGTTCTATCGACCATAATGCAATGTGGCCACCAGTCTAGGTGACTTGACACTGCGTGCACTATTGTGAGATTAGATGGTGGTTTGAGGTAGTCGACAGGAAACCCTGGACCCGGGTTTTGTGCTACTTGACACTCGTCAGCAAGGTGTACCTGTAATCTTGAGGGAACTGGTGCTCCCTGACGGATTCGATCCCGTGTCACCCAGCTTCACAGTCAGAGACATTACCACTAAGCTATCCGAGCCGCGACCAACCTCCTGTAGGACTGAGATGTAATCACAATTGATTGATCACTGGGTGGTGACCAATGTCATGTGTCAAGTCCTTATTATATTTTCAATAATAATATTTGCACTATTAAACATTCAATCATAAGTCAATTCAGAATAGAAATACTATTTGTAATGACATAAAAAATATTTATATTTCATTTAATGAATACATAAAACTTTTATGAATTCTTTTATGATGAAAGATAAATCATGATATTAATAACTAGCTATTTATTTGAACACATAAACATTGGTACAAGGGGAGGCACCAAATGCATATATGCTACACAATGATAATGAGGTCACTAGAAGTTATCACTGATATGTGTGAGAGCTGTGGTATTATCTAAGTGCCGAAATCGAAGCAGGTGATTTTCTTAGGAGGCCACAGCCGGAGCCTTTTACCTGATGGTTTCATCCGCAAGGCAGTGGAGCGACATAAGGAGGTAAAACCACATGGTAGCCGGTGACCAACAATAGGTTCATAAACATTTTGTTCCTTCAGGATTCTGAAGCCCATGTACACCACTGGTTTGCAATCAGGGTTTTCTAATTTCCATAGGTGGATAATCCATATCCATAACCCCATAAAGCGTCAAACGTTCACTTTTCGTTCTCTGAATTTCGTAAACAACATTCCCGAAGCGAGAAGACAGAGAATAGGATAACTAGCTAAACACGTTGATGTGTTATTTTCATTTAATTTTGAACAGTTAATTATTTGATTATAACAATCGGTGTACAAATTTGTTTGTCACATTCTGACATTCAGTTGTTTGGATTATACATTTTGATCGAATGCCCTAGAATACTCTGCAAACTGATGTTTATTTAAATTTCACATATAAGTTTCTTTTTCGTTATGATGTATAAAATATGAAAATTTTAGTTCATTACAGAAATGAAAATACCTGGAGATTTAAAGTATTTCACATGATACTTGACCGTTGTTTAACAAAATGCAGTTGTTTTTATTATGTTCATCATAAGACGATTATTGTTGGAAACAGATTATTTCTTACTACGTGATGCTCACGGAGGCAACCAGTACAAGTGAAGTATCTGCATGACCTTTAGAAATAAAGATTTTTGACATAAATCACACAATTGCGTTTGATACGAACAATTCGAAAGACTTAATTCATCTGTACATCATGCTAAGCATTGTTGATTTATTTGTAAATGAGTTTGCCCTAATTAGCTCAAGCTGGAACTCTGTACTGAATTTTGGTAACCTTAAGTAAATAATAGTATATCTTTTCTGAGTTCTTTTAATTCAGTAGGAAGTATATCAGAACTGCCTAGATCCTAGTGTTCACAGCCTCTCACTAGAACCCAAGGAATTATTCATCAGTCAGTATACGATTATCATTACTGTAAAGAGGGTTTGTAGAAACTGTCCAATTGATTTTCGTTAGATAAACATCAAAAACAATCAAACACTGGACAGCCGTTTTCTTCTTAGTATGAAACACTTAAACAGTTTTCGTTCACAACACTACCGGAAATCTGACTCAATGTCTAAAAACTTCGTGACAAGCGTCTAACATTTGAACCACAGACCGTTACTCAATAGTCTGTATGTCTAATGTCAGTGATAAGTAAGTGCCTCACCAAAAATAAAATCACATCTTTCCAACAATTACTTATTCGACTATTTAAAGTTATGTATCTTCATTTGTGTGAAAATCGATGGTTTAAACAAAATGTTTTATGGTAAACAACAAGATGTCATAGTATTTAGAAAAAATTTTAGATTCCGTTTTTCCTACATCTTAGGGAACTAACTGTAAGCAAATGCTTAATTGTATTCCTTACAAAATAGCATGATTTTTAAGGAGAATATTAGTTTTCCGCTCTTTAATTATGCTTTAGAGGGTAGTCACAAAGTTATGAGCAAACTGTTGTTTTCATCTTGATCTGATCTTTGATTATCATTTAGTTTTATCCTATACACAGTCAGTTTGAAAAACCGTATGTATGTACGTATTTAATTAGCTAGTGTTTCGACAGTTATATTTCCAAATCATTTTAGTAACAAAATGTCTATTTCCACAATCTTTAGGAAATTATTCAATTAAATTTGAAGAAAGCTCATTAATAGATTTAGAAGCAGTATTCCTTTCAGCACTACCTGGCCTTCAGTCTAATAAATGTTTCGAATGTGGATGTGTATTAGATTCACACAGCGGACGGGAACTTAAAACAAATAATAAAATGAATGAAAATAATATTTCATCTAATAATAATAATAATAATCACAAATCAATGAAACGTCAGAAATCACACAAAGAAGTATTTTCACACTTACGACGTGTTCGTTCTCATCATCAGTTCAGTCAAATTGACATTACTCCACAAGCTACAACTATGCGTATTTGTCATATGACTGGAAAATATTATTGCGAACGTTGTCACTGGGATGACACTTGGTATGTACCAGGTTCAATATTCCTCCTAAACGATACATCTAAACAACCTGTAAGTCTATTTTCTTATAATCATTAAACATGCATCATTAATTTTAACGTTTTTATACAAAATTCAGCGACTACTTTCTATCATAGGTGACAGAAACATCTATTTTTTCTTTAGCATATAAGAGGGGTATATTCCTTTGCTTTGTAATTTAAGAATATACTTTTAAATATCAGTGTGCAATAATATCTAGAGTAAATTTAATTGCGACTCATCTATAAAGTAAATAATTAGCCATGAATTAAACGCATTTTTGATCACTTCCATGAAAAATAAATTTAAATACTCAATTAATCAAACTTGTTTGTAGTTTATATCATACAATGACTTTGGTTATCTTAGGTTGATATTAAGAGAACCCTTAAAAACCATGCCGTTCTAGGTTTGCGCTACTTAGCAGTGCTTGGCCACTATTTTATCAAGAATCAAACTCGGCATCTTCAGAAATAATGACAAAAACGTAAGCATTATATCACTGAGTTAGCATTCAAAGGCTTATAAAATTAAATATAATGAATTCTTAATAGTGATTGACTGTGTAATCTGTTTCTGTCGAGGGTATTTTCTCAATCTAGACATGCCTTTATTACGATGGACACATCATATTACTGGGATTTCTAATATTTTGCCAGTAGTTTGTTAAAAGTCAAAGTACTATTATTATTATTATTATTATTATTATTATTATTATTAGAATGCACTATTTATTGATGTAATTTAGATAAGGTTCAATTTACTTACTAGAGATATATGTGTCCATGATCTGGTAGAATAACGCATTTAAAATCTTTTCGAAACAATCAGTTTAATCATTGTGAGTTTCCATTCAGTTTAAAAACAAAATAATCATTTTTGATTCATGAAATCTAAGCCATTCATTATTTTTTTCTGAATAGGTTTGTCGTTCAGTCTACATTAAATTGTGCGTTATTTGGGATTCTTTGATATTGAAAGTTCCAGCTTATTGGCATCGAGATAACCTTGAGGCTGGAAAGGTTTACGAGATTCGCACCAAATTACAACCACTTTTACGCTACGCAATGCTATGTCCAGAAGCTTCTTCCATAAAGGCTAGTGCTGAAGTAAGCTTTTTTTATCGAAAAAGTTATATTTAATTATAATGCTTATGACTTAAAGCAATATCAATACAGGATGCACAGATGCCAATAAGAGGCTGATCAGTTGCAGTTCTAAATATCAACAAACAATACAAGATTGATTTAAACTTCACCCCATTGCACAAGCAAGTGGCTATCAGGACTCAGTAGCTAAGTGGAAAACGCGATATCGTTTGAAGCGAATGGTACTGAGTTCAAGTACTAAAGTTAATACCAACTCTGGGAAGCAGCTATGTCCAGCTGACGAGTCCCAAATAGGACGAAACGCGTTTCTTGAATACCTTTACTAGCCACTATCCATATTTATTTATAAATTTATATTTGGTTATTTATTTATTATATAGGAATAGTCATTTGAATGAAGAATAATACTAACCACTTTTTATCTTCATTTAACCATTAAACTGAATAAAATTATAATCTTTCTCTTTAGACATAGACTAATTTGTCAATTTCAAAGTTTCACATAATTGTAAAATTGTATATTGTACACCATAATGAGTAAAGTTAATTTGCCAACTTATAAAATAAAATAAGAATTTCAAGGATATGTTATTTATATACAACATCTATTATAAAATCTTTTAGTTATATGTAAAATATCTAAAAGATTTGAATGGTTCTAAAGACTTAGCTATGAAACTGATTAAATAACACCAGATTATTTCAATTTAAACTAGACATAGTCTAGTGAACTAATAATCGTATATATATTAATACAGTTCTTCATAAATGAACTTTATAGACGGTATACATTCATTTAGCATATATGTCTCATGATAGATTATTACAATTTACATTCTACTAATAAAGTGAATAATTAACTTATGATTGATGATACATTTTTATTATAAAAATGTTTTATTTTTCGGAAATTTTAATGATTGATTACATGTTTGTTATGTGTATTGAGTAAACAAATTTACGAAAGACGTAATATTATGTTACCTACCATATGAGGTTTTTTAGTATTGATTAACGTTATTCATACTCGCATTTCAACATGCACATTGATTTGCATCAGTTTGCTTACAAATGTAAAACAAGTACCTTAGATGCTGTTGTACAGACCAAATCGCAACTCTATGGATCATTGTGGAACAATCAATTGAATGGAATTCATCACTCTACATCGACTTCATTGACTACGAAAAGCATTTGACAGCGTGGACACAACAACACTATGGTAGCTTTTTCGATACTACGGCGTGCCTCAGAATTCCTATGATGGGTTAAAATGCAAAATCGTGCATGGAGGACAATTGACAAACTCGTTCGAGGTAAAGACCAGTGTCAGGCAAGGTTTCCCACTCTCAACTTTCATCTTTCTCCTGATGATCGACTGGATCATGAAGACGTCAACATCTGAGGGGAAGTATGGGATACAGTTGACAGCTTGAATGCAGTTGGACGATCTAGACTTTGCAGATGATCTGGCCCTTCTATCCTAAACGCAATAACAGATTCAGGAGAAAACGAACAGTGTGGCAGCAGCCTCAGCAGCAATAGGTCTCAATATACACAAAGGGAAAAGCAGGATTCTCCGATACAACACAGAATGCACCAATCCAATCACAATTGACGGAGAAGATTTGGAAGATGTAAAAACCTTTACATATTTGGGCAGCATCATTGATGAACAGGGTGGATTTGATGCAGATGTGAAGGCGCGGATCGGCAAAACAAGAGCAGCATATTTACAACTGAGGAACGTCTGGGACTCAAAACAACTGTCAACCAACACCAAGGTCAGGATTTTTAATACAAATGTCAAGACAGTTCTACTGTATGGGGATGAAACCTGGAGAACTACGAAAGCCATCATCCAGAAGATACAAGTGTTTATTAACAGTTGTCTACGCAAAATACTTCGGATCCGTTGGCCGGACACTATTAGCAACAGCCAACTGTGGGAAAGAACAAACCAGATCCCAGTGGAGGAAGAAATTAGGAAGAAGCGCTGGAAGTGGATAGGACACACATTGAGGAGAGCACACAACTGCGTCACAAGGCAAGCCCTCACATGGAATCTACAAGGCCGAAGGAAAAGAGGAAGGCCAAAGTACACATTACGCTGGGAAATGGAGATAGACATGAGAAAAATGAACAAGAATTGGATGGAACTGGAAAGGAAGGCCCAGGGCAGTGTGTGTTGGAGAGTGCTGGTCAGCGGTATTTACTCCATTAGGAGTAACAGTCGTGATTAAGATGCCGTTGCTGTTCTGCACCACAATATAGTGTTCAGCTTGGAAAAGGGTAAGAAATATGTTCTGGATTATACTTCTGCTTTTGATTCTATCCCGAGAAAACTTTAATTCAACAAGTCAGTCAGCATCAATATTTACATCTGGACAACCAATCGGTTATATTCCTTCCTCTCTGGAAGAGAAACGTACACTGTATTTGGAGAAATGTGTTCAGCATCTTCACTGTCTCATGAAGTTGTGTCATAAAAAGCTGTTTTTTCACCTCTTCTTTTCTCTTTTTTTCTGCATGATCTGACATTTTCCACAGAAAACACTTTTGTGAAGTATGAGGACGATCTCGCTTTATGTATGCTGATTTCTACCTCTTTACATTCCATAGAAATGAAAGAGTTGTTGTCTCATATTGAATAGTAGTATGCTGTTAACGGTCTCATAATTAATCCGTCTAAATATCAATCCGTTAAATTTAGCTTAAGACATGAATAGCACTTAAACAGCACTTTGAGTTCCCATAATCCTGGTGCCACTGGAAACTCTTTGATAAACAAAGTGTCGAAGACCAATTATCTTGGTATTACTTTCTCATTTGATCTCTCTTAGTCTTCTTATGTTTTACAGTTATCGAAGAAAGTTTTCCGGCTGACTTACTGCATAAAAAGGTTACATGCTTTTAAAATTACTCGACATTTTCTCTTACAATTTGTCAATTCCGGCATATTACCTTATTATTCTTTACTATTCTTCACTATTCTCTCTCGGGCTTTTGAGAAAAAACACTTTGCTGTATTGCGGAGAGTGCTGAACGCAGTTAGCAAGGTGTGTGGTGAATTTTTTGAGGTCATTAATAATATGATTGTGGATAAACATCTAAAGTCCTGCAAACTTCTGGAAAGTTTTATCTTATCAGAATCTACCCATTCATATCTTTCTCCTTGTATATCTTCTCGTAGAACGAGACGTAAATATATGAAAATCTATGCACACAATCTGCCAAATGCGGATTTTCTAAAAGCACATTTTTGAACTTACTGCTGTAATTTCACTTGGTATTTTTTATTCGAATCTTCCCATTGATGTTTAGGACTTCAATTGATCAGTCTTTTATTGTTATATATGTATACTGTGTGTATTTCATTGATGTTACCATAATGCACAAGCATAATAAACAAAGATGGATAATATTGGGGTAACTATGAAACTTCTAAAAACCGTTGTTTGAACATACTTAACCAACGAAAGTTACTGTACTTTATAAATTTAGGAATCTCAGAAATTTGTTGGACCGGTGGCGATGAGAATGGGAATGAAGTCTACTGTAATTTACATTATAGTATAAATTTCTTAATTTGTTAGTAAATTCAAAAGTTTTGTTTTTTGTTTGCTTTTCTAAAGCTTTCCGGACCAAGCTATTTGTTGGGTAATCCTGATTATTTTCGTATGTGTGATGTCCTTGATGTACTCAATGGAACACTTTATTCTAGATTAAAGGAGTATCTGAAAATTTGGTTTGAGCATAAAACACACTGTGAAGTAAATAATTCATTTTACGTTATATATACTTGTGTTAATACAATAATTAAATTACATATTTCCATTTTAAACAGCTAAACCTCTCAAAGTTGATTATATGTTATCTTGAGTTATGTTCGCTACTTTAATAACGGCACTCGAACGTATAGAACCCCACAGTCACAAAATCAGAAAATAGAAGAAAGCTGGGGAAGTGTTTGTTGAGTAAGAATCGAAATGAACAGAAAGTCATGGCTATTTATACATATTAGCGTTTGTTATGACATTATTATAATTCAGCCAATCCAAAAAGAGACAAGTAATGCTACTATACAATCGTAGTAGGCCACGTTGATATTCTAGAAAGCTCGATCACGTTCTGATTAGATGGAAACTCTTCGGCTACTTCAGGGCCTCTGGAGGCTCCGTCGTAATTCTCGAAAGCCGTCCCAACATTTTGTATAAAAATTTTCTCATCTTTTTTACTTTGAATTAACACTAGGAATTTTATTGCGTTAATCAGACATGAATAGTACTTCATATTTGTTAAGCGATACATACAAATTTATTAATATCTGAATTTTTGTTGTATTTTGTTTCGATTTTACATACAATAGCATGATAATATTATTCAGAATATTCAAAAATTCGCTTGTGTACAGTTTTCCAAATCAATTTAATGTTTTAAGAATTTTTTGAGTTGAATAATATTAGTTTTAGTTTACCCATTGGGGTTTCCTCGCGTGTGTTGGAATCCCATCATCGTTGCCAGTTTTTATATCTAGAGCTTAGATTCTTGATACACCGCGTACAAATTGAGCACTCGAACACTAGAACCCTCGTTGTTGCAAATGAGAAAACAAAAAATGTCTGTAAAGGAATACTATTCCAAAACAGTGTCGAATATGGTTCCAAACAGTCAGGTATTTATAGTTTTTCGTGAAGGCGGAATCATCATTATTGTCATTCAGTCCTCACACACTGGTTTTTAAATTTTATCCATTATGGAATGTATCTTCAGTAGATGATTGTATGGAATGTCTCTGGCTCTTTATGAACTTCTTATAGCCTCCTTAATTTTACCCGTGGGCCATCCTCACATACATCCAAGATTATTCATTAACATAAATGTTCTTTTTAAACATTTAGTTCTAAGATTATAAAATTGTCAGGGCAGTATTTGTAACAAAGTGAATTGATTATATGTAACAGCAATTATTTCTAATATCTAAGGTCATAAGTGCCGTCAAACTCGTTAGATGGACATAAGTTAATGTATGACAAGTGGCATCTTTTAAAATGTATTGAAGTAGTAAAAGTCAAGATAAACTTACTATCATTCATATAAATTGTGTGCTTCTTGATAACACGTCTTGTAAGATATAAATGCGGTTCACATTTGTGTTTCAATAAATCAAAGGTTTAGGAAATATATTTATATCTATTTTTTCTTGGTTATTCTTAAGTGTAAATTTGTTACGCTTAACAATGAATATATCTACTGATACTTCGTCTAGCTAAGGTAGTAGGATATACTGTGAAAATAGCAAAACAAGAAAACAAAACCAAAATATTCTTAGTTTATGAATCATCAAAGTTAAGATTCAATAAAATCTTATGGTTGTACATATGATACGAAATTTGTACTAAATGAAGTAATTATAATTGACTTTAACTGGTAGTGTAGTGAATGAGAACACAATAATAGGAAGCGCTCAAGAAGGCAAGATTAAGCGTTTAAGTAACAGAGTTATCAAGTGATAAATTAATGGAAACTTTAGTGGAATCAATAGCTACTTCTTACTGGTGCGGTACTCATCATTGGTGTAAACATGACATCGGTAAATATGAAAAGATTTGCAAACGGTAATGAAACGTTTCAATATTGCACTCACAGTGAATAGTCTACATTTTTACCTTAATACTTTGAACTACTTATAAGTAGACTAGGGTAATATCCGTACTTTCGATTTGCAGTTATGCCACAGAATAAACATCAAGCCAATTTTTGTGAAGCGAAATACTTTTTCATGTAATTCAAATTCAAAATATTTAACTACCATCGTCACAAATGTACTCTATATTCTTACCCAACATTCGAATACAATAGCTCTTATATGATCAGTAATTGTTACCATTTGTACCTGTATAATTAATACTACTATTCGTTTGTTTAATATTGGGTAACGGTAATAGTTAGCTAATAAAGAAAATTCTCTACTTAGGTTAATAGTTATTACATAATACATCCATGTTATAATGAACTCATTAGTCAAATAAAGCCTTTCGACTTAACTTTAGAGCTTATCTCAACTCATTTATGAATTACTTTGTTAACCGGCTAACTAACCATCGTTAACCAATATTAAATCAAATAACAAAATTACCGTGATCCGAATGCTATTACATATTATCAGGTATGTTGATGGTTATATGAGATATATTTTAGTGAGGAGCTATAACGAAGGCCAGGTAAAAAGATCTTCACTCTACTCATTTCACTGTCAAATGTCTAAATGAAAATATCTTTTTATGTCAAATGCTATATTAAACAAGTAACAAACTCTTTACTATTGACTGATCACTGAGCAGTGAATAATTTCATGTGTGTCAGATCATTCTTAGTGCAGATCTAATTCTATCAACCACATTGCATTGTAGACACTGGTCTAGGTGACTAGACATTGGATTCACTATGTTGAGAAATAGGATCAAATCCGTCAGAGCGCATCAGTTCCATAAAGATTACAGGTACACCCTACTGACGAGCGTCAAGTAACACGAAACGTAGGTTCAAGGTTTCGTGTTGATTACCTCTAACCTTTATCTTACAAGTAACAAACTTCTACTATATATATGTATATGTTTATATAAGGTAGATGACAAATCCTGTATACTGTTAGGATGAAACCGAAACTAACAAATTAATAACCATGTAATACAAGGGTTATCTACTACTTTATTATATCATGGAATAAATAAATAATATTACAGTAGACTTATGAAAAGCTTTTAATCAGTGAACATGAGTTACATAATAATCATAAAGATAATAACATGCAATAATTTATAGAACGAGTGTAAAAGATCATTGTATACTTTAAAAAAATCAAGGAAGACATTAGGGAGAAAAACAATAGTTGACGATTTTTAAACTGAGAATATGTATTAATGTCAAGATAAGAAAAGAGATTGAACCCCCTTTTTTTCCTAAAAAAAAAAGAATTAAATATGAATTCATGAATTCCTTTAAATTCAACCGCATACAAATTTCATACCTAAACTTTCTATGACCTTATTCTTTTTTGATAATCGCAGATAATCCTAAGTAATATCTAATGTGAATTAATTGACGAAAGTTGATCCACTAATCATTCAATTGAGCTGTTAGTCTGTTAATAAATTAAAAATTTATTTAAATTAATTCTTTTCCGTTTGTTTTTTGTTCACAACATTTTCATTATAGATTTGTAATGATACTGGAAAATCTATTGAAACGGATGATGCAATATGGCTTGGTAACAAACCATCATAATACAATTACATTTAAAATGATTTTTTTTAAATAAAAAAACCACACCATATTTTCTCCATAGCGATATTATGTTACTGTTTGTTCTGTTTGTTTGTTAGGCTGGTTGGTTGGTTTTTTTAAAAAAAAACCCCACAAATTTGTTTTGTACAATTATTTGAATCACATATTTTTTCACATATTTATTTATTCAATATTGATTGATTAAATAATTAATTATTAAATGTTCAATGAAGAAAAAACTATTTCTGTTTTCTTCTCTAAACTGTACTTTTAATTTTATTTCTTCTTTCAATGAATATTGATTTTCGGGTTATTTGATTTATTGATTATTTAAATATTTTGTTATTTTACAAATAAATTAAATAAATAATTAAATAAATAAATAAATAAATCATGTTATTGAAAGATCAAACTATGATCAGTTGAAATCAACATGGAATATAATATTTGGTTGGTTGTTTGTTTGTTCGGCTTTTTGAATAAAGAAGCTTGTGAATTATACTTAGACAGTAGAATCATAGTTTAATTCATTATTTTGTAGAATATTTCTATTATGTAATAGAAATTGTGTCTTTATTGTGTTTTAATGAAATGTTGTCAATATTCAATAAATGTATTCACATATTTAATAAAGAAAATCTATTAGAAATAAATTGTTTTGAATGAAAAAGAAAGAAATAATAGCGAGACTGAAGGCTCTAGGTTTGGATCCGGTGAGCGAGATCGTGCATGCACATTGCTGAGGAGTCTCATACTTGGAAGAAACAATAGTCCAGTGACTTCAGGTTTTTAATGGTAGTCTTACATTAATCGGTTCATGATCGCAATCAAAAACATAATAATCTTTACAACCCCCATGTACTAATTAGTGACTTGCTTTTGAGGGAATTCTCGGAGTTTTAGTGAGAAGTCGTTACTGGTGAAGCTAATCTGCGTCAGGTTGATAAGTCTTATCGATTGAACGCTATATTAGTTTCCTAAGCTATTCTGGTACCCCGAAAGCTAGAACTGCACAGCGACTTGAACACCAAAGAGAAGACGCAAGTATGAGGGAAAATACTTTACTCCGAGGTTCATTTTATTACAGAAAATATAGGGTTTTTATAATATATCTAAATGTCCTTGGGTCGCCGGAATATTCTGGAATGCTACTAAACATAGTAGCACTGTAGTAGCCAACCAATCAGAGCTTCCGCATGTGACGTTTCGCTACCTTGATATTTCTGGCCAAGACTCCAAATGAACACTGATTGGACGAAACACTCCTTAGTGTTTCTTGATGCTTGCTTGTCTTTTGCAAGCAAGTTAAGCGTTAGGTTTGAATCCTGTGAGCGGGATCGTAGATGCAGACTGCTGAGGAGACTCACAGTAGGACGAAACGGACGTTCAGTGCTTCCAGGTTTCCTATAGTGCTCTGGCTTTAATTAATTCATGAATTCAACCACCAAATTACTAAAATCTGTACAAAACCCCTTTGTGAAAATAATCATCTTATACTGATTTATCATTTTGAATCTGAAATTTACAAATAAAAATGTGCATATAATTTGTTTTAAATAAATGTTTAACAAGAAGTTTTTTTTCTATATTGGATAATTTATAATGAATTTTGAGTATTACTACATTTCAGTAGAGTCATTAAGTAGTCAACTTAATTAGTGTACCTACTGGTGTTATAAAAGTTTGATTCTGGATAGATCAGTATTGTTATTTTTGTTTCTTCTAAGTACTCTTCATGTGTACCAATACTCCTACTCCATGTTGAATTAACTTGTTGTTAAGTACTTCTTATTTGGAAAACGAACATAATTAATAAGATTGTTAGGTTGAAAGAGTGATTGAATGTGATGATTGATGAATAATCACCATTGAATGAACAGATATACTATGGACTTGCATTGTTAGAAATCTGAAGACAGTCCATTAAGATTAGCTTGATTAATAAGTATATGGATCTGGGGACAATGAATTTAGTTGTATCTATAATATCAGTTAAAACACCTTTTTTAATGAAAAGAAAATGTGTTATTTAGAAAGTTATTTGTAAAAGACAATATAGAAAATTAAATTTTGTAAATCGTTTTAATCCATAGTTTCCAGGTAAGTAATTCATAAGTTAACGGGATTCACTTTTTTCATAGGAACGTAATGAGCTTAGATATTGTATACAAATGATATATAAACTAATTCGTAGACATTTTATAATTATACATCGTAGGAATCGGGTAATTAAGTTTGATTAATACGGTAGTATTTTCTTTACTTCGTATTGTAATATGTTCTGTTATGTGGTCTGAATAATCATATTATTAGATGATTTACTCTAAAATTACATATAAACAGTACATCATTCAAAGATATAATCGTTATAATTTACTGATGTGAACAGAGAAACAAAGACGCCATGACAAACAATCAGTGCTATTTTTGGAGAGGTTGGTTTACTTAATTCAAAGCGTGAAAATCACTAACATTTAGTTTTGTCCCTGGTTTATTCTACAAACCAGAAGCTTTCGTTTGATTTATGATGTATTGTCATGCCCTTTTTGTCCCGAAGCTATTGTAAATTAAAAGTAACCTTTGGTACTCTATTTTTTGGCCTGATGCCCAGTTTGAAAATAATGGTATTTTTCTAGTTGTTTGTGCGTTGTGCTCATCTTAGTCACCTTTTTACACTAATCTGAATTGGGAATAAATCGTGTAATGTTTTAATTGACTCGTCTTCTCTCTCTCGATTGTCAACCAATCGACTGACAGAATAGTTTTGGACTCTTTACCCAAGGCAATTAGTCTCATTTCAAACACACATTTTTAGCCTCAAGGTTAAATCAGTTAGCCTATCGTCCAAGGACTTAACCTAGATCGATAAAAGTTACCTTCTGTATATTTTCAAGGACGTAATCTTCAGGGTGCATATTTTCATAAATAATAATTCTTTTCAGTCATATACCAGTTTGTTGCCCTCTGTTATTATTTTTGTCCAATGTGGAATAAAGTCATGTGGATGGCAATTTGTAGTTTTGTTAAATAGTTGAATTCGTGAGTCGATTAAAGCTGAACCATCATTACAAACCTGAAAGCCCTGGACAGCCATCTCGTCCTCGTAGGGGACTCTTTAGCAGTAGGCACATACGACCGCGCATGCAAGACTCGAGCCCAAAACCTTCGGTCTCGTGTGCGAGTGCATAACCTCTAGACCAATAAACCGGCATCTAACGGTATTTATGTCTAACTTCAACCAATCCACGATATTGCGCGACCAGTGGAGTTCAAGCATGTGTGTTGTGAGGCAGTTATTCACTGATGTTTGCACAATATCGTTGATTGGCTGAATTTACACTCTAACACCGTTGGATGCCGGCTCAGTTGTTTAAAGGTTTATTTACATCATTGGTAAAGCGAAAGTATGAGTCTACAACTGGGACAAGCTGTCAAACTAAGAAAATAAACTGCATCACTGAAACATTTTATCAGTATTATTTTAGCATATGTTACGACACAATATCTTTTAACATCATTTCGTAACACCAATCAAAAAGCCAAAAACAGGAGGAGACTTGTAGATTTACATTCATTCATATATCTACTTAATAACAACACAAAATCAGAAACAACTCACAGTTATAACTGGTGAGAACAATATATAAACAAAATAATTAAAAACAGTGGATGGAGATTGTTATACCCTAACAACCTTTCAATATCACGTAACAAAATCGCTAATTAGAACTCCAACATATATGGCCTTGTCGCTGTGCTAAACTAATGACGCGTTAACCAGGAAGATCAGCCTTGAGTCAACTCTGAGTCATTATTGGTCCTCTGTATAGTAGCTTCTCGCCTAACCCAACCCGGTTCAGTCCAAAACACAAATATCAGCTTCCTCAATATAACTCGTATATTTCAGACGTATAGAAGATCATGGCAAGAAGTGACTGTGAGTGTGAGAGACTGTAACTAATAAATTGTGAATAACTTAAGATTTGAATCTCAATATGAATAAAAACACCAAGACTTAGTTGCAATTAAAGAGTTCCGAACACAAAGAAATGTTTATTCTGAATTTCAGCCTTAATCAAAGTACGAATACACTATTACGGACATTATTCGAATAATTCCGTCCAATATCAAAAAGAAAGAATTGTGAATATCCTTAAATAAGAAAAAGAAAGTTCGAATGATCATATGATTTCAAAAGTAAAACTACTGTATAAAGTAACGTTTCCATAGATCTGAAATTCACTTTTGCTAGTCATGTTAGTTTATACAGTGAATGCAAAATCATTTGCATAAGTCGTATAATGTCTGACGTAATTCAAAATGTTTAAAAAATCTTGTATATGTTTACATCATTATTAGAAAGGGTTTAAATGAACATGTTATCAAAGTTCTTGACTGAAATTTTCGATCAGTTTTTGTTAGCATATATGTATTTAAAACAGATTGCCTCGATATAGCCATTTTGTCACGAGTTCTACAGCATTGATGGATTGTTACTTCATTACGTTTTTTTATACATACCTACTTACTATGCTGAAGTATTTACTCAAGAACTTATTGTTCTTATGAATGCTAGTAAACTTATGATTTTGTAAGTGTATATTCAGGCCACAACTATGAATGGCCTCGACTAACATTTGTTTAACCGATTCCTTTATATTGTTATCTTAATGATAATAAGGTAATATTGCATATTTCAGATACTCTAAATAAACAGACTAAACGCTCCAAGTAAAGATTGGAGAAGGCATTTTTTGGAATAAGTCTATAAGCGAAAACGTGGGTCATGAATTATACAGAGGATTCACTTACAATGCGTTAGACTATAGATAGATAAAGTCTGACAGGCATACACTTATTCACATATGGGAAATGTACATAAGCAATCAATCATTCGACTTAATGCAAAGTAATTAGTAAGACAATAATAACATTTGTTTGTCAAACATTTTACTCATCCACATTATAAGGTAAATAAGAAGACTTGCTTATAGTCCGTTTTATTTATTATACTAGAGAATTCAGCGGAGCAAATTTTCTTTTCGACGAAATCATTTACTTAAGCTAAACATTCGTATATATAGTTCTATGGAAAATGTATGCCTGTAGGAGGATAGAAAAAATTGCATCACAAAAATGGATTCAGGGATAAATAACAAATAAGGTTACGTACTAATCAAGGGGTAAGGTAGAAAATAATTTATGGGTCAGATTGTAGTCCGATTGACCAATATGAAAATTAGCGACAAACACAAAGGTCATGTTGCAATGTGGCCACCAGTCTAGGTGACTCGACACTGCGAGCACTATGTATTGAGATTAGATGGTGGTTGGAGGTAGTCAACAGGAAACATGATCGATAGCATTCGATCTGCACTAATAAGGACTAGACAAGCATGACATTGATCACCACCCAGTGATTAATCAATTGTGATTATATCTCAGTCCTACAGGAGGTCAGTCGCGGCTCGGATAACTCAGTGGTAACGTCTCTGACTGTGAACCTGGGTGACACGAGATCGAATGCGTCAGGGAGCACCAGTTCCCTCAAGATTACAGGTACACCTTGCTGACGAGTGCCAAGTAGCACGAAACCCGGGTCCAGGGTTTCCTGTTGAGTACCTCCAACCACCATCTAAACTCACTGTCCGAAATTGGCTACCCCAGTGCTTTCATTAAGAAGTACATGTATGATATAATAAAGAAGTCGAAGATTTCGACTGTTCGTAAGAAACCTTTATACATGAAACTACAATTCAGCGGGGATGTGGCTGGTTATACTCTGAAATATAGGTTAACGAAAGTAATCAGCATGACATTCTCTAATTGGCAGTATCGTTAAGTTATACATTAACAGGACACACAGGCCACAAGTTATAGCATTATTGTTTTAATTGATTTAGTAACATTACGTTTATCTACCATTCAGTATTATCAGGTATATATCTAACTTGTTTCCCAGTTTAATGTCTAACTGTCTAATATTACTTAAAAAAATGGATTATTATTCATCATTTAAATTCAATTCAAAGATTCATCTCTTAGTAAGATTACTATGTATAAACTGGTATTGTTTACTTGAATATTCCCATTGATGTAGTTGATCAGTCTCTTATTGGCATCTATGCATACCGTGCGTATTACCTTGATATTGCTTTAATTCACAAGCATCATAAGCAAAGATGGATAGTTTATGTTTATTCATTTGATTTCTTTCGTGCTCAAAAGTTACAGTGGAATTGAATCATCATAAAATCATAAGAAATGACTGAATGAACATTATTTTGTCCATAACCGAAATATAATTAAATTACTAACTCATTTTAAATTTCTCATAACTATGATAAGCAAATAGAAAGCGTATATTTAGTCACTTCTTATCTTTTAAATTCAACACTATTAATCGAGCTCAGCGTTATTTACAATTCATAAGGTCGACCAAATAGTCAGACATTTCTCATTGACATTTGGTTTATAGCCAGAGGTAGAACCTTTTATATTAACAAGGTTTTCTTTAAGCCAATAATTTTCGATAACACATTTGAACTAGGCTTAATGTTAGTCTATTGATTCCCTTCTGTAACCTACACGATTGCTTTTCTGATTTTCTCAGAATCGATTAGGTAGTTTTTTAATGAAATAATCGTTTGACAGATGATGATGCAACAATAGCTATTCGAAACATTATTCGAGTTGCGTCTGGTTTGGGAATCGTCATCTGGATATATTTGCAGTGTTGGTGTTTATATCAGTGCATGTATCCAACGCCCGTTGCAATCTTGTGAAACATAATCTGCTTAGCTAATGAATGCAAATAGCGACCAACTATTTTGAGATTCGGAATTCAGTAAAAATTACTAACAAGTTAGTTGAAGCCTTTCTAATGGTTCATCAAAAAATATTTAACTTCTTTGTCTTTACTACTAAAGAATAACATAAGTAGTTTTGAAGTGTTATCTGCAGCAGATGGACGCTTATGAACATCTATTATGAAAAATCACTTCTGAAGGATGTCGCTTTTCTAACAATTAAAATGTGTGAACTGTAACAATAAAAGCCGTTCATAAGAATTGGTTATAATTCATAATCTATATTGGAAACACGGACATGATCCGTTTTTTCAAATTTCATTTTTTCATGATTTTCGGCTTTTGTTTTCTTTTATCATAAATTTTATCGATGAAGAAAAAGATACCGTTTCCGTATTTCTACAAACCTGATAAGCAATGCAGTTGGAAATATGAATGGAAAACTATACTTTGCGAAATAGGTTTATTTAGCACTAGACAGTGATAGTCATTCCTTTTTTATTCTATACGAAATGCAGCAGTTTATAATTTGATTTTCATTATATTACGAGAATCGAATGTTAATTGATGAAACCCCTTATTAGAAACACCTACACTGCTGTATTATGAGAAAGGTTAATTTGAAAAGTACACATTCCAGCTTATCGTTTAAACGTTTCTCCACAGATATAACCTTTTTTTACAGGGCATAAAAAAACTTTAATTAATCGTATATCAACAAATTACTTTACACTCATATGTAGGAAATGGTGTTTTTTAATGTTATAAGTCGTATGTCCGATTTGTGCTATAGCTATGTAATAGAGGTATTATATATATATGACATAAATCACTGGTAAATGGAAAAGGCCATTTGTTTAGCAACATAATATGGTCACATTCCTATTTTTGCATTATTAATAAATAAAATTAAAAGAAATAAATAAACGAACCCTAAAAAATAAAAAATTGAAGGATACAACTAGCTTTAATGATAATATCAGTTAAATTATAATTAAATTCATCAACATTATGTGATTTGGTAAGAAAACTAAATAGCACATATATAATTATTGTTGTTGTTAGGGTAGGTGGTTGATTTGAATAGAGAAACACATTGAAGAAAGTCAATTTTTCTCTTACCAACTACCATATCATTGCGTTTACTTTATTTTATGCATAATCGAAATATTCTAAATGGTAGAGTGATGATTTATAACTAAATACATAGAAAAGATTGAAGATTTTGTGTTATTTATACAGAAATAAATAAATAAATGAAAAGAATACAAAGAAAGATCTGCTTTAATTTATATAACGTTTGTTTGAAAACCGATATATATATATATATATATATATATATGTGCTGACACATATATCTATTAAGTTAATGGATTTTTCCTAAAACACATTGTACACAACTCTTGAAATGATTTAATGGTTACCATAAGTTTATGTAGGCTTGTCAATTCGCTTTATTATCTTTCTTCCTAAATTATATACAGTTGAATGTCTCCACAAATGAAGTATATTGCATATGAATATATATATATATTCTATACTTTAAAACCTACATAAATTTTAAAATTCAACTGATCAACAAAGTAATGATAACTGTTAATAGGTTGATTAGATATTATAGCTAATGACAAGGGAACTTAACATCGACAAGTAATATTTTATGTGTATGTGTGTATATATTTTCAAGGATATATTCAAAGTTTCCAATAATTTATGATTGTAGGGAATGGGACATACTGTTAGAAAGATCATCATTACCACTAACTGTAGGTAATTTGTTTGAATCATAAATAAAACATCGGCTTTTAATATTTATCGGTGAAAATTCTATGTGATTCTCTGAATTATGTTTATTACTTAAAACATTTATTGGTTGTATTGTACAAATATTTTTAGTAAATGGTTAGGATATCTTTACAAATGTATTAGCTGAATTATTAGTTATTTGTGAAGTTACACTTCTGATCAATGAAGGGCTAACTGGATTTTGAACTTTATGATCCGATGCAGTACGAGATAATTGACTCCTATTAGGATTTAGCATATTAAATGTTGGTGAAGTAGAAATTGAATACTTTTGGTTTGAATTATCATTGTTTACACTTAAACATATGTCAGGTTTATTTTCGTAATTTCTCAAATAATTCGACGAATCTTTAGCTTGAGGATACTTCGATACATCAGAATCTGAATCGTTTAACTGATCATCCGAATCGTAAGGATATCGAACCACAGGTATTATACCGTATTTTAAGTGAGCTGGTGATTTTGTATTCATCATATAATTTGGTAATAAATCATCTCCAGAACTAAATAACGGTGGTGCTAATCGACGCTTAATTTTACAATTTATTTGTTCTGATGAATTTATCGATAAATCTCCTTTATTCACATTTACAGGTTTTTCCTGTGAACCGGAAGTGACCTTTTCTTTTTCATGAATATTAACGTCATATAACTTTGCATGAATATTAGGAATCAGTTCATCATCTTGATAAAAATATAATTTTGTATTACTTACTAAACTATCATTTAGAGGATGAAGTTGTTTTGGTTTAGTATCGTCCTCATGTTCATTTGATTTAAGAGTATTGGTTTGTTGATTGATTTGCTTGCTATTAATATTATCATTATTATTACTAATAATATTATTGGAACCATTTGTAAAATTACCATAACTCAAACCAGTAGTATGGTTAAATTGGGATGAATAACACTGATTATAATGCATCATTGAATTGTTGACAAATCCATGTGATAGACATTTTACTGATGATGGGGACAAATTCTCTGTTTTATTTATCATTTCAGAATTAGTCAACGGAAATGAGTTCTCTGTACTAGGCATCTGACCACTTGAATTCGGACTTGCCTTAACTGACTGATTTATAATATTATTATTACTAATAATATCATTATCACCATATGAAATATTTTGATAGTGAAATAAATGTGATACATCTTTTTGTTCATTGTTACAATTAGGACAATATTGAGTCGAATGACCAGTTGAACAATTTATTTGTTGTAATGATTGTAAATAAGGAGTGTAATTTTTTCCACTCTCCCATTCAGATATACAATTCTTGACAGATTTACTCAAATATGAATGATTTGTTTGCAAATCTGATTGACAAACGGTTTCATGATTGTTATCATCAATTGTAACATTATACGTGGAATGTTGATCACAATAAGTTGGATTATGCAATATTCTAGAAATGTAGTTAGATTTAAGTTTTTTCTTGAATAATTGCTTTCTATGACATAATATACCTATTGCAAATATACAACTGACCATTATACACAGTACTGAAGGTAACAAAGCAGAAAGATAAATATGAGTTGGTTTTGACTTTGGAGAAACAGATAATTCGTTAAGTACACTTAATAGTTCATCATTGATTGCAATATTTGGACCTTGAAAAAAAGTAGAAAAGATATTATCTTTAAAAGAACATAATGAAAGCCCTCCTTTATCCGTTAGTATCAGATTTCAATTATTTATAAAAAGATATTTAATTTGTCATGGTACACTTCTTGGTTTATTGTATAGGGCTAATTTACAACAATAATTAACATCGTATTTGTATATCTACACTTGCTAGAAAGAACATAAATACGTTAATTAGTTTAAGGGTAACAATAATTGACGTTCATTGTTTCACTCGTTAAGAGTAAACTAAAGCTTTTTGGTATGTCATGTACATAGTTCATTAAAATCCTAATCAGTGTTACACAGTTATTGTTTTCGTGAAGACATATTACTTTTCTGAGTGGGATCCCCTGTAGAGTATCCAACTAAGATGAGAGAATCTTTCAATTTATCATGGTTTTAAATGATTCCTCAGTTAGTTTCATGTTCTACAACTCATCTAACTAAACTAAACTGTTTCTCAAAACATAAGTTTTAGAAATGAAGGTACTGAGATCTAAATTTTAGCAAATTTTTTTCTGTCATAACAATGACAAGAACTTTCTGAATCTCTAAATTCGTGAAACATCTATCCAGGATGTAGTATAATTCAATAAGACACTTTAACCTGTGAAACAATGGAAACATGTTATCCTAAATAGATATCACAAACAGTTATCCAGTGAATTTCAAACAAATTCAGTTTATTATAATTACTCACATTTTTCGAGGTATCACATTTCTAATTTGAATGAAAACTATTTCATCACCAAGACATGAAAATTTAAGTGCCATAATAGGATTCATGATTACAATATTTATATAAAGCTGTTAAAATATTATCTTATGGGTTACATCTCAGACAAACTACTACTAGATGACAATTAAAGTTGGTTCCTAATGTAAATCACAAATTTCAACTAATTCCTTAAAGCTACTATACTTATATCAACCATGATTTCATTGGTGACCACTGTTGAAAGGTCGTTCCCATAAATATATCGATAAGCTGTGACCAGTGGGAGTTAACAATATCGGAAGTTAAATAATTACCCACCAATGTTATTGGATGATGGTCGAGCAATACTACTAATATGAATCCTAACTCAATTATCTAAAGGTTGAGGTCTCACTCAATGTTCTGAAGATGTTGGGTCCAATACCTGATAGGGTCTTGGATATGTACTGCCGAGGAATCCATATTAGACGGAAACATTTTCAGTAATTCACGCACTTTGGTGGCCGTCTAGCTACAGATAGTTCATTATCGAAACTGGATATAAATATATCTAAAAAATAATCGTAATAGTATCTTATGAAAATATCTTTTAATTAATGAACATGGTATGACAGTTCTCGTAAAATAAATCTAATCAAAAAACTAAAATACCACTTCCTGTTCAAAGTAAACAGTATAAAGTAGAGTTTACACGAGTAAATCAAAACACCCTTTATATTTCATAAACATATTTATACTAACAACGAGTGACATCCAGAAAACCATTAAACACTTATGTTTCACAAAACTTTTATTTTGTTCTGGTTATGTGAATTATCAGCAATGAGTACCGTTATTAAAACTATATTCAAAGATAACTAAAGTTCAAACGCTCTCAATCTTTTATATTTCATCATTCTGCAGCAAGTTAAAATAAACAAAGGATTATCATAAATACACATGTTAATTTAGATGAAATCATACTGGATTAAAAGAAAAATCTATATCTATTTCTGATAAACCTACTTCTTGGTTTAGGTTCCACAGAATTCAGTTGTGAAGTTGATACATCTATTTGACCAGAGTAAAGACTTAAATTATCATTAAATAATATAACATTCATATCATTCATTTTATGATTAATCCTTCCATTTCCACTTGACTTGTTTAGTCTCTTCCTTGGTTTAAAAGTCTGTTTTTCTCTAAGTTTGATTGAATTCTTTGAATCCTCTGAACGAAGAGTATTTTCCAACAATACATTATGCACTAGAAAACAAATCAATTACGTTATGAATTAAGCTAGTGCTTTACAAAACTTTTGGATATATTTTCAGCCTAGGAAGATGAAATTAAACCTTTGAAGATTATTTATATCTTTGATTTTTATCAGGTAAACAGTTAATAAAATCCAGGCAAAGGCTGTTTCTTATTACTTTGGGACTCTACAAGAGTTGTAACTGTGACTTTCAGGTCTGATGCAAGAGTGTTATCATCAGGGTAGAACGCTTGAATCCAATGGTCAATATTTTTATTGAGTAAAATCACTGTATGATGTAACAACGGGACATTTCCATTAGTAGTTATCTGTCATAATACGAAAATTGTTAATTCCCACTAGTCATAGTTAATCGATGGATAGTCAGATACTCACCTAAAAAAGAGAACATGTTCACAATGCTTCAAAATTATTAACAAATAAAAAGTGCATCCCATCTTCAGTTTGCTTAAGCAGTAGCAATAATTAAACTGAAACCTGATTTATGCATCCAGAAATAGACAGAAATCAGCTTACCACTAGCTTGGTAAATCTTTATTTATTTATTTATTGTTATTTTCAGTATTATAATTATTTTTTTAGTGTTTATTTCGTTGTGTGGTTTTCACTTAACTAATTCTTATTTGATATACACCAAATTATCCGTTCATTCATCGGTTTCCATTCAATTCTTATGTAATCCATCTTACGAATTTCTAATTGCAGCAATTTTATGTAAATCCTCCACAACTTATATAATTATCACACAATCTGTCTTATATGTTTCCAGACCTCATTTAATTACTGCTTCATCCACCCTCCTAAGTTTTTGAATTCCTTCTCCAAATGATCTCGTATCTGTTCCTACATATATATAGATAGTAAATATTGATAATCTTTATCATCCTAGTTCCTTTCATCATCAATGTCAATTGTTTCAGAGTATATCATACCTTAATATTACTTTTCATTACATATATGGTTGTAAGCATTTCATATTTTTCTGCCTTAGTTGTTGTTTTGGCTCTGTTCGAATTCAGAAAAGGAACCAATTGCATAGAAGCTATTTACCTGTGATTATGTAATTATATATGGATTAAATAATGTTCAAGTACACTATACTATGTGACGTCAGATTAAGAACGATCAGATGTACCATTTCTCTTGATCTTCAATTGATCTCAATTTCATGTACTGAAAACTTTTTAACTCTTCAAATCCTACAAGTTTGTGAATTGATGGAAAATTGTTTCAAATAAAATAATCATTTATATATGTATACAATAAATAGATCAATTACCAGTAAGAACAAAGTAAGTTATCCTTAACATGACTTACCACATGTATATCTTAAATATAGATAAGATTTTGTACATGACATTTGTTTAAAAAGAGTAGACTTTCTTGAATTAATTAGATGTAATGATTCAAGTACTAGATTTGGACTAACAGTACATGTTAAATACCCATTACATTTATTTGAAATAATTGAAATCGAGTCAATTGAAGGACATGAAATTTCTAAACAAAAGACGAAAATAAAAATTACAAATTCATAATGATATATCATTGTTTAACATTATTACTTAGAAGTTAGTGAAATCCATATTGTTAAAAAATGAGATTGTCTTATTCTTGTTAAGTTAGCTATTTGTCACTTCAACGTAATGTTATATGATGGAGATCATATGACTTTAGAATGGAAACGACTGGTATTTATTGCATTGTTGGGCAATTTTGTTTCAGCTAATAAGCAACAAATAAACAAGCTTTATGGGAACTACGGTAAGCATACTGAATATCTAAGTTATTAATTGAACGTAGCTAAGTGTTCAGTAGAGCATCAATTTTCTGAATATAGGGTAGGATTAAATACATCAGCAAAATAAAATGAAAGATACAATCACAATCCATTTCTGATTAGAGTAAGGTCAAACTTATGAACTCTGAATTTCATCCAGTGATTTGACACTTGGTATATGTCATCAGATAATAGACGTTATGATGCAACCTTATCTTTTACTCAACTACTCCAGGTCTTTTCAAGGACATAAATTTTACTGATCAGAATCCATCGTTAAAAAAAGGATTATCTTTTCAAATGTCTCTTTGAAAGTGTTTCATCTTAATAATCTCAATATAAGTTTACTATCGTTAAATGATGTTATGTTCGCCACTTGATTAACGCAAAATACGGTATACAACTGTTAAACTCGAACGTAGAGAACCCCACAGTCACAAAACCAGAAGACAGAAGAAAGCTGGAGAAGTGTTTGTTGGGTCAGAATTAGAATGTACAGAAAATCATGGATATTTATAGTTACTAGCATGTGTTATGTCAAAATTATAATTCAGCCAATGCGCAAAAAGGCGAGTTATGCTACTGTCCAACCGTGGCATGCCACGTTTATATTCTAGAAAGCTCCATCAGGTTCTGATTGGATGAAAACTCTTCGGCGCCTCCACAGCTTCTGGTGCCTCCGTCGTAATTCTCAAAAGCCGTTCAAACAAAAAAAAAGTAAATCAATTAAGTTAATGTGGGATAACCTTTCAGTGATAGTTATAGTCTTCCACTCTAAAATAAATAAAGTCATTGTCAAAACAGTCATTGTGAATGGAACAAACTATTATACATATAGAAGTCATCAGAATCAATAAGGTTTACCACGAAATTTTCAGACATATAAACTAATTTCATAATACTTATAACAATCAGATCAAGTTTACAACAAGATACAAAGTCTAATGTCACATCATCACCAAATGTTTAGAAACTATTTTGTGTAACATTAGGATAAATATACTTAAAACTTCAAAGTATTTAGGTATCTAAGGTTTCTTTTAGTCATTCATTATGAATTGGAAAGATTTGCCCAAAATACCTTTGGTACAGTGATATGATATCGTGGTGTTAGCCACGGATGTCGGCACATATATGTAGTAAGTATCATCAAGCAAAAGTAAAATACATAGTGGCAAAAGGTTGAGAAGATCAAAGAAAAAAAGGAAGGAGAACAAAGAATGATTGGTGTGGAAACGAAAGAACAATGAAATTTGAGATGATTGATTGGCATTTTACAGAAGGAACAGTCAAGTTTGATATCATTAATTGACATTTTGCAAATGAAGTATTTACATTATGGTTATCAGATTTTACTAAGGGATTTTGTACTCAACTACATTCGATTGTTCCCACTTGTGTTCCTATTCACTATTATATAACTTGGTATTACCAATGGTTTAATGATGAGTTTATAATTTTCAAACATGGTTTTAAAGAATAATCTGACTGAAAAATTACACTGTACTATTAAATCTAACTCAAAATCAGTATTTATGGTTTAAAATGATTTTTAGTATTTGCTTATAGAAACGCAACGTATTTACTCAGAATTTTACAATGAAAAATTCAATGGGATTATATTCATCTAAATTATTCCTAGAACTTGTTTTTGCTGTTGGATTGTATTGTACAAGAATTCAAGTGAAAACAACCAAACATATTCCAATACAAAATTGCAGAATCACTTGATAAAATCTAAGAACTATACAGTAAATACTTCATTTATAAAATATCAATCAACTGTCTTGGATTTCATTGTTATTTCGTTTCCAAATAAATAATTCTTTGTTCTCGTTCTCTTTTCTTTGATCTTCTCAACCTTCTACCTCCAATCATTTCACTTTCTATTGGTGTTACATACTACTTATATCTATCAACATCTAGTACTGATATTCATATTGATACTATTTTTCATTTACTTAGAAAAAAAAAGATTACTTTTGTTAATAATTGTTGAAAATGAATTTTGTACATCTTCTTTTAAAATAGACTGTAATCCATTATAGAACTAGTATGAATCTATTTTATTATGATATAAATATTTATGTAACTTTATAAACTAAAGTATCAATTAAGACAAATTTTCTAGTATTCAACTATTCACGACCAAATCATCTAGTTCAAAGAATAAAACTTCATTGAAACATCGATTTACATCATTATGTCATAGAATAGTAGTTGGTAAGTTGAATTATTCCAATAATCATATCAAATGTATATTCATTCTACGAAATAATCAAAATAAAATCTTTTCTAAGCATAATTAATCAAAAATGAACTAAATATACATACATTAAAGTGTGTGAACAATTAGTATAATGTAAACATTTTCCTTATTATAATAAAGATTCATATAACTTATAGTGATTGTACATAATTTTCAATTACATACTGAATAACACTATAATACAATTGTGAGTGTTTTTTTTTAATATTGAAAATGATAGATTATGAATACCAAACAAAATTTTTTTAAAAATTTATTTTATAAACTTTCTGGAAACTACTAACAGGTATTAAGTAGTTGCTAACCAACTATTTATTATTGACATAAATTGTTGTTTAATTCATTTGTTCATTTATAATTTCAACATTTTATTTTTATTTAAAACATTAATAAGATGTAAAATATAAAACATGGTAAGACATATATAACTTGATACGAAAAAAAGAAAAAGAAAGGAGGTTCTAATGTGTGACTTAGATTGAAGAAAAAAAATAAAAGATTTTGGATCCAAAGTTTGTCAGTATTGTTATATATGTGTGACAGTTGCTTAAATATTTAAGTAAGTACTATCAAAAACTGGGGAACTAAAACTGAAGTTACAGACTGTCAGTAACGTTTCATCTACATTTAAAAGGCCTTAAACTTAGATGTTTTTTTTGCAATTTTCAATTCGGATCTGAGTCGATATAGTTTTCTTTTAAAAAAATGGAATTATTGATATCAATAAATTAGTAATAAATACGTTTGGTACTGTATCGATTGTTTCAAGGATTACTGGAATGAATGAGAACACAAATGGGGACAATCGAATGTATTTGAATACAAAACTACAGAACATCATAGTAAAATCTGAGAACCATATAGTAAATACTTCATTTACAAAATGTCAGTCAGTTGTCTCGAACTTCATTGGACCTTCATTTCTACACCAAACATTTTATGTTCTCGTTCTCTTTTCTTTGATTTTCTTAACATTTTACCACTATGTATTTTACTTTTGTTTGATGTTACATACTACTTATATCCATCGACATCAGTAGCACACCACACAATACTTTCTCCCGCAGTGAACATCAACTCTGAGATGCAGATACATCCAGCTGATTATTTCCAAATAGGACGAAATGCTCATCTTGGATTCCACTGTTAGCTACTATCCATCTTTTTTTAATAATAGTTTCTCAAATATTTAAAATCTTACTTTATCATAATACAAATAAGAAAGGTACAGACGATTTGAAATTAAATATTACTATATTACTTATTTAATTTTGGCATATGGCAATTTATATCACAACATTTAATCAAAAAATAATACAGCTAAATTTGTTAATAGTCTTTTAGTTATAGGTGATTGCATAAATTGTATGAATACAACGTTTAATCTAATTGACATATGTATTAATTATTTAAAAAAAGAAATTAATTGAACATTGAGATCAGTAATGACTTGTCAATTATCTGAATAAATCATACAATGGTTTATTAAGAATACATAAACAATCTATGTAACATTATAATGTACATTGTGATTCATCCATAATAATAAGGTAATTGAATGTTTATGTAAAATATGGGTGTTATATTTATGTTTCATCATGAAGAAAAACATTTTATAGACAGTACTGTTGTACACTATATGTTTATTTTATTTGGTATTCTTAGAACATGGTATTGTTTTGGATAGACCTTTCGAAGTTCCATATGAAAATGTCAAATTTTAATTTTCAATAATTTCGAAGCAGTCGAGTGAATTAAATTCACTTGATGTTGTTTAACTTGTGTTTTCCTATTCTTATTTAGGACTGCAATTGATCAGTCTAATATTAGCATATGTGCATCCTGTGTGGCTTGTCTCGATACTGTCTTAATTCACAAGCATTCTAAGCAAAGATGGATAGTGCCTAGCACCAAAATCCAGGACGCGCGTTTCGTTCTATTTAGGATTCGTCAGCTGGATGTAGTTGCATCTCAGAGTTGATGTTCACTCTTGGACTCAAACCCAGTTTCATTCGCTTCAAATGACTGAATATATATACTTGATGGATTTTTGTTCTCTGGAGCTTTCATCGTTCTTCTGAACGACATCATTAGCACAAACTTCAGGTAGAAATGAACTGTTCAAATTTCCCCATATATGGTTCACAGCTTGTCCTGTAGACCTCGGTGTTGGTTGGTTCTTGTCGACCTTAAACTTGTCACCAACTGAACAGCTAGTTCTAACTTGCATATCGTTTAAACTTACCGATCTATATTGATGCTTTTGTGGTAGGTTCATATATTTCACCTAATAAAATGTGAAGTTGAATTCGGAAATTTTGAAAAAAGCTCTAAAATCTCTAAAATGATTCAACACAAGTAGGTAAATAGATTGAACAGAATAGTATGGGAATTTATTTAATATGAAAACTTGTATCAAATAAGTTATGTGACTTATTACAAATCTTTTGA